AGTCACTAAGTTTGTCAGGTAACTACAGATGTCCAGGATAACATCTAATATTTTAAGTTGAAAATTATATATTGCTGGTAGAATGAAGTTGGCAGGGATAAAAGATGAGGGGGGAAAAGTAAAAGACACATTTTGGGGGGTGTGTACAATTAGTAAGGTAACACTGTATTGTGATGATAGTGATACTATAAATATAAATTGTGTGAGGAATTAATTTGCTTTTTTGAGATTTCAAAGCTAGTGAGTGACAGGAAATTGGTTTAGGAAGAGAGAAAAAAGACGCATAATTATTTCTTTCATTAGGAATGTGCATTCCTGACATCTCTGAGGACTAAGATTGTCCTGCAGGGAATATGATTAAAGTTAAAGAGGAAAACAAAATAAGTAAGTCAGCTTTTGATCCTGCTGCTATATTTACCCACAAAAAAGGAGGCAGCTCTCAGGTGGGCTTTTGTCTAAATAATGTTCTGAAATCCAAGTGTAAAAGAACAATATGAAATCTCAATTCTCCCAAATGGTTTGGGGCGAGTTCAGCCCTTGAGCCCCTGGGAGGCTTGGTTCCCAAGGAGACTAATCCCACTTGCTCAGCATTAGCCATCACTGGAGGAAAGAGCTCTAGCTTGGAGTCCTGCAAAGTCTCCAGTGCAAGCTGCAGTCAGGTCCCTCCACTCTATAGGAAGTGAAATGTATTGATGTCAAAGCCACTCAAGTGAATGTGCTCACTCAGGGTGCAAGAGGAGGGGCTGACAGGCCTCGCCGGAGCTGGCCACTGACTTTACTGAAACCAATTACATCACAGATCGGACTCTATCCCACAGGGAAGAAGATCAATGCAAAAAAGCAACTGAGACCACAAGGTGGAGGATATGTGCACAAGTGAGTTGGATAGTGGAAGCTCTAAGGATGTATTTGTTCTGAGGTGTAGAATTATTTCAAGTATAAGCTACTTCTTGTTGCATTATTGCCTACACAGTTGCTTTCATTTACCCATGCCTTTGTTTGAGAGACACATTGCTTATTTGCTTGACACACTCAAAATACCATTTCAAGTCTTTTTTTTTTTTATTTTAAAGAGTAAAAGAAGGATAACAATAATGGGGAGGGCTTACCAAATTACAGATAAAGTGGTAGGAATGGTTATTGTTTTACATATTGTTATCTGCAAGATAGTTTCTCAGGAAAACAAATAGACAAATAATAGTGAGTTACAGACAAAAGAGGTAGGAAATTATCAATAGTTGTTGTACTCTACTTAGGTATCTTCAAAAGAAAATAAATAGAACTATACATGAGTGACCTACTGACTAATCATTAACTATTCTCAATGGTTGTTGTAGGAAACACATAATAATAAACATGCATCCATTTATGAAATAGGATAGGAACAATACAAACATTACAGAGTTATGGATAGATTAGTAGGAAAATATCAATGACTGCTGTAATACATGTTGGTATCTTAGAAGTGGTTTCTCAGGAAGACAGAGATATGCAAGAAGGATCTAACAAATAGTTACAGCCTAAGGGTTGTCAAAAATCAAGTGAGCCGTCTGGGGCCAAAGCCATTTTTTGTAGCATTTTCTCTCCAGCCTCCCATCGCATTGGGACCCCACAACCAGTTAGTGTCCTCTCCCCAACTGTCAGCACAGGCAGCAGGAATCCTGTTGCAGACTTCTCCGGGGCTCCACCACAGCCTGCACTGTCAGGGGAAGAATGGCTTCCAGGGAGTCTCTGCAGGTATTGTGCAGGGTCCTCCTGGTTTACAGCTTCCGAGCGGCTCTCGTGACCCCAGTCCACTGGACCTCTGACTCCGTGGGCTTAGTCTGCATTCTCACGTTCTCCGAGTCCTTGTTCAGCAGCTGCTCCTCTGCTGACTCTAGACCTTTCTGATTCTCAATGGCAGGAGCAAGAGTGGCCCATTGTATGGCATGTATTCCCAGGGGTTTTTCCATGTTTGAATGATTCACACATGTCCATAGGTGGGCAATTGCAGCCAGTGCATGGTGGGCCAATTGTGTCATTGTTTCTCTGTGTCGTGATAGTTCTCAACTGAGCAGTGGCCCCTCCCTCCGCGAGCCTACGAGGCAGGGAGCGAGCTGCTGGTAGGAAGACCGGTGCTCCCCGCCCGTGGCTCCCTGAGCGCTGGAGGCCCTCCCTCTGGGGGCCTACAAGGCAGACCATTGCAGTCGTAAATCAAATGCTACCTGTAAAGGCCTTCACTCCTTTGAGCAGTGTTGACATATTTGCATCAATAATGGTATATTTAATTTATTTCTACTGAGACATGCTTCACATTATATTACAAAGGCCTGTTGGCATGGCTTCCTTTCCACCAGAAGGGGTGGGAATCAGAGCTTGTTTTCTCTGCATCCCCAGTACAAGCACAGTGCTAAGCACATGGTGGGTATCAGTAACTTTCTGTTGAGTTCTGATGAATGAGTGAATGCATGGATATTTGTGTACAAGGATCAACGGTGAATCAGGCTGAGTCATCAATATGTTCTTTTTGTATGTCAAGGTTTGTAGATGACAAAGCACTTTTCATTTCAGTCATTTTACTGACTTTCTCTCAAATAGGCTCTCATTATTCGCTCTGCATAGGTGGGAGTAGCAAAGCTCACAGAGTAAGTTTTCTGCTGTCAGCCAGACAGTGAAGACAGGATTAAACTCCAACTCTCAGTTCCTGGCTATGGTTTCAGCGCTCCCTCCACTCTACTATGTGGACTTAGAAGTCCCGCAAATATAGATGCTCTCTTGCACTTGAAAATAGGCACCCACTTTGTTGTGGCAAAAGGAGAAATGATGCTGATTTCATAGTGTGCTGTGCTGGCAAGGAATGGCTGGGGTCAAAATGATCAAGATCATGGACATTTGTTGAGATGTTATTTTGTGCTTAGTAGGTGCTTTGATATACACCATCACCAAACAATGGTGAGGAGATGAGATGACTTCCACTGGGCACATGGAAGAGAGTAAGATTTGCAAGTAGCATATGCCTGTTATGTAATTCTCACAAAAACCCTGAGGTCAGTTACTCCCATTCCCATTTTTCAGATGACTAATCTGAAAATCCCAATTTTCAGATGACTTAGGAAGATGAACTGCTTTATGTAAAGACACTTACCTAACCATAGGCAGGACTAGAATTGGAATTTGACCTCATCTAACTTCAGGTCAACTGTGGTACAGTACTCCAACTGTCTGCAAGAAAAGAAAGCCTTTCACATGGAGATCTGTTCATATTCTATTTATTTGGAATATGACTATGTCAGGATTTAGGTAACTCTCAGGGGTTTAAGAGATTTTTCAAATGTAAGATGTCAAATGTAGAGTCCTGGGCATTGGCCAAGACGCTGGGTGTCCCAGCCTGAACTCCGGCATCTTTGAACTCAAATGAAAGGGACAAGATACCTGAGCCAACCTGAATAAAAAAGTAAAAACTCTGTTCAGCTATATAGCCTTGAGGAGTGGCTACTTTGTCTTTCACATTAAGCTTTTCTTCTTTGGTAAGGTTGTAATGCTTAAAAGCATTTCTGCCACAGCTGAAAAATAGGTTTTAAAGACAAGACTTTAGAAAGGAAGGGTCTGTACCGCCTCCGCTTGGACTTTTCATCTAACCTATCCCGTAAGAATTTAGAGAACATCTTGTCATTCACAGTGTTTCCCACACGTGATCTCATTTAATCTTCATGAACCTTGTGACAGAGAAATGTGTAAGGAAAAACCGCCAGCTTTTTGTGCTTCGGACAGGTTAGCGTGAGACTCATCCAGGTTATGGAACAGCCCGCCAACAGTTAAGGATCTTCTCAGGAGTTTCTTTTAAATGGCACCGCGCCCTGTGAGCTGGGCCATCTTACTTACACTTAAGATGAGGAAGCCAAACAAAGCGTGTTTGGCTGTCTCGTCTGAAGCCACGTACTCAGCAGAGCATGGATTTCAACCCAGGTCACAGGGATATTGAGCAGCGAGACTAAGGCCAGAACCCAAATCCTTTGTGAATCATGGTCTAATACACTGCTTCCAGGTCTAATATATTGTTCATTTTCACCAAGTGAAAGTGGGTCAAAGCGAACTTCAAGTTGATCTTCCAAATGCATCAGACATTTTGGAAGGCCGCTTAAATGATAGACCACGGAGAGGTTCCAATTCGTCTTCTATCCTAATATGCTGAGAGATTTATATACACGCTGGCTTTCTCTCACACCAAAGCTGCCTTAATGAGAGTGATTCCTTTCTCCCTTGTTTCTTTCTGCCTTTGTACTAACAAAAGGTGGGCCAGGTGGTGGCTTCAATTTCCTGTAAACTAGTTGTCACTTCTAACAACTAAGGGGTAGGAGAAAGACAACTGGACTTGGGAGTTCTGGGGGAACTCAAATTGGAACCTTAGGGCCAGGACTAGAGCCAGAGAAACATGGTTTCCTTCCCCTAGGAGCAAAGAGAGAGGGCGAGCTGTTATATTCTGCCAGAGGCTGGCTTTGTATTCAGACTGGATTGGATGCAGCCTTGAACTTCTCTGAGGCAGCTTCCTTCTTTTCTAAATGGTGATATTAACAGGTGATTCCCAGGGCCGCAGTTCAAAGATTAAATGAGATAATGTAGAGGCAGTGCCAGACACAGGCAAACCCTCGGAAGCTGATGGCGATTCTTGTTAGCAGAGCTGGAACCCAAACCCGAGTCTCTGGATCGCTGCCCTCTCCGCCTCAGACCTGTCTCAGGCGCCAGGATGCGGTTGCGCAGGAGGTGAACCCAGCTTGAGGACTGAGCCTCCCCCTCGCACACGGCGGCTGAATCTAGTCCAAAGAAACGCCCCAGGGCAAAGGGAAAGGAAGGGGTTAAAGCCTCAAAAAGCGCAGAAAATTAGAAAAGCGGCCGCACCCCCTCACCCCCGCCCCACCGGGCCGGCTAAGCCCCTCCCCTCCGCCACCGGGGCGGTCGCGCTGCGCGCCCGCCCTCCGCCCCTGGCTTACAAGATCTAATGAGCTCCCCCGGGAGGCCGAGCGGCGAGCCGGGCCGGAGCGCGGAGGCAGCGCCACGCCGGGGCGGGAGCCGGCCGGGGGCCGCCCGGGAGCCGCGCCGATGGCCGTGCAGGCGGCGCTCCTCAGCACGCACCCCTTCGTGCCCTTCGGCTTCGGGGGCTCCCCGGACGGGCTGGGCGGCGCCTTCGGAGCCCTGGACAAGGGCTGCTGTTTCGAGGACGATGAGAGCGGGGCGCCGGCGGGAGCGCTGCTGCCCGGAGCCGAGGGCGGGGACGTGCGCGAGGCCACCCGCGACCTCCTCAGCTTCATCGACTCGGCGTCCAGCAACATCAAGCTGGCGCTGGACAAGCCCGGCAAGTCCAAGCGCAAGGTGAACCACCGCAAGTACCTGCAGAAGCAGATCAAGCGCTGCAGCGGCC